ACAATATGATTATTATAAATATGGTTATTCACGTGTAAAAAATTATGCTGAAGGTAGTCATGAGTGACACTTAGTGCGACAGGGGATTAGAATATATAATTTATGCTATCCATATACAACAATATTGACAAAATAAAAAATATAAAGAATAAAATTGAGATTCACTTTTCTATTCTCCATACTAACGATCATTATAATATAATGTCCTGACTCTTAATTTATAATTTCCTTTTTATTTTCAAACACGACACCACCTTTAATTAGTGGAGGCAAAGGTCCCAAAAAATTTTTACGTTTAATCCCCTTAGTATCAGCTTTAACGTCATACTTTAACATAACTTTATGTAAAAATACTTTAATCTCATTAACAGCTAAAGATCTACCAGGACACGTATGTTTTCCGCCTCCAAAGATCAAAAAATTACGTTCGATTTTTGTCGCAGGAGAATTACGTTCCAGATGACGGTATGCATAAAATTCTGTGGGATTTTGACCTTGAAGTTCTTCATTATTATTTGTGTCACTAATGTTTAAAGTGACTATGCGGCCTATAATTTTAAATAATTAGGAAAAGGCGTGAGAATTGTTATAGCTTTAAAATTAAGAGAATAGCAATCAAGAAAAAAAAAATTACCACTTGGAATTTGATATCCATTTGCAAATGTATAATAAGATTTAGAAAGGCATTTGTGTTGCAAACCTACTGAACCACTAGATAATCTTAAAGATTCTTTAACAAAACTATCCAACTTCACCATTCTGGCAATATCATCTACTGTAAGCTCATTTCCATTACATTGTTTATTAATTTCCTGAGCTTCTTGATATAACTCTTCCCAATATTGTTGTTTTCTTTCTACCAAGTCTAAAATTCAAATAAAATATCAGTAACATAGAACTAAACTTATTTTATAATGAAAATAAAATATGACAAACCGTATAAAGCACAAGTAGCACCATTAGATGTAGTTCCCATTGCAGCAACAACAAAAACACAGATCGCATTGGCAATATAATTATAGTTCACATTATTTGGATCGAGATCGGGTGTTATTTCGGGATCATCTAAGTAGCATTGTAGTGCATCTAACTATTTTTTTTTTAAAAAAAATTGAAAAAGATTAACAGTAAATAATTTAAGTTTACGTAAAAATATATTTTTATAGATAACTTACTGGAGCAACCCAAGCATCTCCTAATCTCCTTTTATCATAAAGGCGTTTTTCGATGACCGGCTTAATATAACTAAGGATTACTTTTTTATGTTTTGAAATTGGATTCCAACCAAATTTGAAAGGAATTCTGTTATGGCAATAAATAAATAAATAATTTAAGGTTATTTTCTATGTGAAATCACTGAAATTCTAAAATGCTTTTAGGATTTTTTTTTTCAAAAAAAAGTAAAATAAACTTACGTGACAAATTGTTGATGAAGCCGGGGATGTATAAAAGATAATATTGGTGGTATCAAAAAAAGTGTAAAAATTGAAAATGTTAAATTTTTAAAAGTTTCTAACATATCCTCATGCATGAAACATTCCTAATTTTTATTATAAGAGTAGTTAATTATCAGAAGAAATTTTTACATAAAAAACTCTTGCATATACATACTTCACCAACTATAATATTAGCAACGGGAATCGCAATAATATCTGATATAGTTTTACGCGGGTCACTAATAACCTTCGGTTCTAACAATAAATAAAAATTTCTTTTAAATCTCACATGAGAAACTTATAAGTTAAAGGTTTAAAAACTTACCAACACATTCACCAATATGAAGTTCTATAGCCTCAATAATATTTTGTTGTAACCTACTTATAAGATATTTTAATTTTCCTGTGATATCTCTCATTATTTT